AGACCTCACCTGATAGAACCCCCCCCCTTGACCCTCACCTTCCTCCTCCAGAGAGTCCCCTGCAAAGTCACCCGTTTGCAGGATTTATCCCTTTCCCGGCCCCCACGTTCGCCCCACTCATCATTTGTTATTGTTATTATTAATTATGTATACCGCCCTGAGATTTACTGGTGAAGGGTGACAGTATAGAAATACAAGATAAAATAACCACGAAATTCACAATAAAAGGAAGGACAAAACAAAAACAATAAGCCCTCTCCTCTCCCACAAGCACACGTCGCCTCCTGGACTCTCCTCGTGAACCTCCCTTTCAATATATACACACACAGTGTAGGCGCATTTATGTTGCATGCTGCAGCCCCTTTGGGCATCTCTGAGGTATGATTCTCACAACCCCAAAGACTTAGCAGGGATTCCCCCCCCCCCCACTTTAGGGTCTCCTCCTTTTCAAGGACCTGTAACTCCAGAAGTAATGCTTAAAAGGAAAAAGGGGGGAAAAATCCTGCTCTGGACCTAAGTTTCCTCCTAGGAAACTTGTTTTGATTCCCCAGCTGGGACCAGTTCCAGGGAATTTCTACCCTTCTGTGTATGGGTTTCTCTTCCTTTTCCCATAAAGCCTTTTTTTGGGGTGGGTGGGGGGATACTAAACACACATGTGACACGTATACAGTGCTTTTTTCTAAAAAAAAAAATGTTTAGGGGTACTGTCATTTTGACGCAAGAAAATCACCATTTTATAATTCAAATCAGGGAAAATACAGTAAATGGACAGAAGTACAAAGATTCACAAAATGTTTAGGGGTTTACGTACCCCTGCATCCCCCCAGAAAACAGCATTGCATGTACACACCCGGGTTGCTTTACGGGGGAGTGGGTTTGTTATTGGTGTAAGGCAGCCTTCGCCAAGCCAGTGCCCTCCGTGGGAGTTGTCTGAAACATCTGGAGGGCAACCTGCTTGCAATGGCTGCTTTAAGGCCTGAAATTTAAGCTGCTTATGAGAAAGGATTGGAAAGCCCTGACTGCAGTTTGGAAGCACAGTCCCCTTTACGCCACATCTTTCTTTATTCTGTCTATATCCTGCCCCTGTTTCTCTACCTATTACTCAAATTCAGGCAATTTGTAACAAGTTGTGAATCTGAGCCATGTCTACGTTCTGGAATGGGAAGTTTGTCAAAAGTTACTTTCGCTGACTTTAGTGCTTCCAGATGTTGGAGCTGGGGCTGATGGGAGCTGTAGTCAAAACATCATGGAGGGAACAGTGTTGGTGAAGGCTGCTCTATTGCTAACAACTCCTGCCTTTCTCTTGAGTCCCCAAAATCTCTCTGGGCCATCTTGCCTGTTCCAACTGCTCTCAGAAGCTTTGGTGGGATGGCGGTTCGGGAGAGGGCGTTTTCTCTGCCAGCCCCTAAGTTGTGGAACTCCCCTACCCCACAGAGATGTACCTGGACTCAGTCAGATGGCAGGGTATAAATAATCACAATTGTTGTTGTTATTATTATTGTTGTTGTTATTATTATTATTATTGCTGCACTCGAGGTGTATGTTTTTTAGGATCCACCTAATTTTTTTGTGATTTTAAATTGCAACGGGCAGTGAGGATGATGGTGATGATAAAAATGAAAAATGAACAGTATACAGTGGTACCTCTGGTTACGTACTTAATTCGTTCTGGAGGTCCGTTCTTAACCTGAAACTGTTTCTTAACCTGAAGCACCACTTTAGCTAATGGGGCCTCCGCTGCCGCCACGCTGCCGTCGCGCGATTTCTGTTCTCATCCTGAAGCAAAGTTCTTAAACCCGAGGTACTATTTCTGAGTTAGCCGGAGTCTGTAACCTGAAGCGTCTGTAACCTGAAGCGTCTGTAACCCAAGGTTACCACTGTACTCTGCTCGACCTCCAAAGTTCTTCTCTTTCAGGCTGGATTATGGCATTACCTTCACCTTTTGGACTGTGCTGAGCAGCCTCCAAATTGCAAGGAGATCCAAACCCCATCATGGACTCCTTAATGGAATGGCTGCCTGAGGTTGCTGGTAATGCTGCTTTTAGCCCTGTGTGGGATCCGTTGGGCCAGCGGTGGCGACTGTAAGGGGCCACCGCCAGGTCCCTGCGCAGTGCGTCAGGCTCATGTGACGGACGGGCCGGGCAACTAATTCTGTCAACGGCAATGGCGAGTGGCTAGTGGAAGGTAGGAATTTGGGGAGGCTTCTTATTTTATTATTGGAAGTATATAAATCTACCTCCTTTATCCGAAAGTCCTATGGTGGCTGTTTGCAACAACCCTAAACTAAAAACTAACAAGTAGGATAGAACAGAGACTTTAATTACAAACAAAACCAGCAACCAAAGTCCTGGACCCTGAAGATCATACTTCTGAGGCCCTTGCTTCCTTGTTGCCTCCCTCCACGGAGAGCCGGGAGGGTGGCAACATGAGAACAGGGACTTTTCTGCAGTGGCTCCCCGTTTCTGGAATGCTCTCCCCAGGGAGGTTTGCCTGGCACCTTCATTGAACACCATTAGGCACCAGGCAAAAACATTCCTCTTCAACTAGGCCTTTAGCTGATTCATATTCTATAGCCTTTTAAATGTGTCTGTGGGAAGAAGGGGTTTTTATTTTGCTGTCTTGTTTTACTTTCAGTGGTACCTCTGGATGCGAACGGGATCCGTTCCGGAGCCCCGTTCACATCCTGAAGTGAACGCGTGTGCGCGGGTCGCGATTCGCTGCTTCCGCGCATGCGCGTGATGTCATTTTGAGAGTCTGCACATGCGCGAGCGGCGAAACCCAGAAGTAACACGTTTCATTACTTCCGGGTCGCCACGGAGCGTAACCTGAAAACGCTCAACCTGAAGCATATTTAACCCGAGGTATGACTGTATTTACTTGTTTTTATCTTGCATTTTATTCAGTGAACTTCCTTGAGATTTTACGATGAAGGGTGGTATATAAATCTAATAACTAAATAAAGATAATAATAAAAAACCGTTTCCCCCACCCATTTGTTTCTACCTTTAAATATAAATCAGCCGGTTAATGATACATTTGAGAAGTTCTGCCAAATATATCAGTCGTGTGATCTGAAGAAGGGTGATGGTGGGGTTCTGTGCCTCCCAGCAGTTACATGGTGCACAGAAATCCTGCAAGTGCCCACTTTTCCTGCTGCAGAAATGGGAATGGCCCCTTCTTGAATGCCTGCCTATCACACAGCTGTTGGCGGCGCAGAACCTTGTTCCCATAGAGGTGAAAGAGGAAGTGAGAAAGAGCGCCCTTCCTCAAACTTCCTCCTTCAGTTCTGTGCACTTTTCACAGGACAAAAGGTGACCCTACTCAGTGCCCCTTGGACCAAGGGGGCTAAGAAGCTTAGTGGGCTCTAGGGGAAGACCCTCCAGGGCTCATGGGAACCATGTTGGTACCCCCTGCCTTACAGGAGTCAGGAAATGATGAAAGCCCATCCTTGGTCCTGTGCCTGGTATTCTAACCCTCCCGCCCCACTTTTGCTCCCTGTTCAGCTCCCAGCAGCAGCTACCGCATCCTCTTGACGTTCATGTTCATGGACACTGAATGCACCTATGACTACCTGTTCATCTACGATGGAGATTCTCCCAGCAGCCCTTTGCTGGCCAGCCTCAGCGGCAGCACACTGCCCCCCACCATCGAGGCCACCTCTGGCAAGGTACTGACCCCGGAGGTTGGATGGGCTCAAGTTGCAACCAATAGACATAGGCCTGGACCAATGGGCATGGAAGGGCTCCGTGGCCTGGAGGTTTTGCTCTGGGGTTTGGGAGGTGGTCATTCACAAGTGGTTGTTGAGATGAGGTTGGAGATTACTGCATGCAGGGGAGAGGAGTGGAGACTCTTGAGGGGCACACAGGGCATGTACCTGTGGTCTCTTAAGGGACCCGCAAGTCGTGTAATTGTGATCTTGGGTTTCACGTGGGGCATGTAGCTGCGATCTTGGCACCATCCCACCCTCTTAACTCCTTGGCAGATGCTGCTGCACCTGTTCAGTGACGCCAACTACAACCTCCTGGGCTTCAATGCCACCTACACGGTCTCACTGTGCCCAATGGGCTGCTCGGGACACGGGATCTGCGACAACGACGGGCACTGCACATGCTTCCAAGGTTGGGGCGGCGAGGGCTGCTCCATGCCTGACTGCGTCACCTACTGCCAGAGCCATGGCAGCTGCAGCCAGGTAAGACTTGTGACATTCCGGATCTCACCGTGCTTGTCCCATAAGAGCATTTGTAGCGGCCGTGTGTGTGTGTGTGCTGGGGGGTGGTCACCCCAAACTTCTTGCCCTAGACACAGCTTTCTCCTGTCTTTCTCCTGTAGCCTCCATCTTGCATTTCTCGAGTGGGGGCACGCTTTTTGCAAAATAAAAAAAACGGAGAGACAATCCGAATTCAGTTCCAGGAACAACTGAGTTCTGCACAGCTCTCTGTTCTGGACTGTCTCACCAGAGTGGTGCATGCTCTGGTTATCTCTTGCTTGGACTTCAATGCGCTCTGCGTGGGGCTACCTTTGAAGGTGACCTGGAAGCTACAACTAATCCAGAATGCGGCAGCTAGACTGGTGACTGGGAGCGGCCACCAAGACCATGTAACACCGGTCTTGGAAGACTTACATTGGCTCCCAGTATGTTTCCGAGCACAGTTCAAAGTGTTGGTGTTGACCTTTAAAGCCCTAAACGGCCTCGGTCCAGTATACCTGAAGGAGCGTCTCCATCCCCATTGTTCAGCCCGGATACTGAGGTCCACCACCGAGGACCTTCTGGCAGTTCCCTCCCTGCGAGAAGTGAAGCTACAGGGAACCAGGGAGAGGGCCTTCTCGGTAGTGGCGCCTGCCCTCTGGAATGCCCTCCTATGAGATGTCAAAAAACAACTATCTGATGTTTAGAAGACATTTGAAGGCAGACTTGTTTAGGGAAGCTTTTAATATTTGATGTTTTATTGTATTTTAATATTTTGCTGGAAGCCGCCCAGAGTGGCTGAGGAAACCCAGCCAGATGGGCGGGGTATTATTATTATTATTATTATTATTATTATTATTATTATTATTATTATTAATTAACATTGCCTAATCTCTGTTACTTTGTGTAATCTTATTCTGCAGTGTTTGTTATTTTGCCTCATTTTTTCCCCTGGTTTTTGCTTCTCTTGGGGAACTCTTTGCAAGCACCAGATCTTGGCCTGCTCCGTGTCTCTAATTTTGGAAATCTCATTCGGACGTCTCTCGGATACCTGCAGTTTTGCTTCCAAGCCTAGACTCCTAGACACAAGGGCTACCTTTCCCCCTTGAGATGAGTTTGTCCTCCCTGCCTGCGAGCCAGTGGTGCTTTGCAGGGAGCCTTACGTTTTGTTGTCCTGACAGGGTGTACTGTTTCTCCACAGGGCTCAGATCATTGCCGGTGTGAACCGGGCTTTGTGGGCCGGGCCTTGTGACTTAGCCCTGAGCGAGAACCAAGGAGCCGGCAAGTGGTAACAACGTCAGCGCCGGGATCCTAGTTTCCGGCCCCGCACGGGGCAGCGGGCTGGTGCCTTCTTGCCTTCCACTGGAGGACTGTACATCTTTGGAGGTCAGAAATTAATCCACTCCTGTGGGGTGGAAGGAAGGGAGCCGCTCTGGGCATTTGGGGTCTGCAGTCCTGGGGTGCTTCCTTTCCCTCCTGCAGTCCCAGTGGGCGCTTCCTTCCTGTTCTGTAGCCCCATGGCTTTTCTTCTTCCTCTCCAGGTTTGGATCTGAACATGGCTCTGGGGGACCTCGTCTTCTATAACTTCACCCACCAACGTCTGGCATCGGCGATTGCTCAGCCCTCTCCGGTAAGCTTCTTCTTTCCTTTGTCGCCCAGCAGCGATTTATGCGGCACTTTACGCATAAGTGCAGCGATTTACGCATGACGAAGTCATGCGCCAGTGGTATGTCGGCAACAGTGGGAGGCGAAAGCGCGCCTCATGTTAAGAATGGTTTTGGCTTAAGAAACAGACCTCCAGAACGAATTAAGTTCATAACCGGAGGTACCACTGTATATCTAAAATTGCCATCATTTTTTTTAAACAGATTTTTTTTTTAAAAAAACAAACTATTAAAAATAAATATAGATTAAAAAATCTAAATAAGGCCCTTTAGGGCCCATCAACCTGAGATGTTTATAGCATCCTCATAAAAATGTAATCTGTGACTACATCATCCATTAATGTGTGTCTGCACACATCCGACTTGGTGGAATGCTCTGTCCCATGAGACCAGGGCCCTGCAGGATTTTACTTCCTTCCGCCAGGCCTGTAAGACAGATCTATTCTGCCTGGCTTTCAGTATGAACTTAGCCTGATCTTTTATTCCCCTTCCTTCCCTCCCCCCTCCCCTTTTTATGAAGATTACCCGGTCTGGGATCCCACAGCTAACTCTTACCTGATCTCCTCGCTGGCCCAAATAGGACTAATTTAGACAGCTAGCCCTGGCAATCATCTAATGTTTATTGGATGGATTTCCCCCTAAAATTAATTTTTGAATTCTGAATTTATTGTTATTCACGTTTTATACTGCTATTTTATGTAGTTTTTTTGTTGCATCAGTTAAGTGTTTTAAATTTGTTGTTAGCCGCCCTGAGCCCGGGTAAGGGCAGGGTATAAATAAAAATGTATTATTATTATTATTATCTCAGAGCCAGGAGGCTGCCCCCTTGAGCCTTCCTTGCAGCTGCGTCCATGTGTGAAATGGCCCGGAGGAGGGGGGAAATCTGCCCCACTGTGCCTTGATCCCATACCTCCCACTTGTCTAACTCCTTTGTCCTCCCCCTTTTACAGTCAGCCCGCCACTCCCACATCGCCGTGGCATGGGAGGGCTTCCTGGTCCTCTTTGGGGTGAGCTGGCCAGCGGCTTTCTTCAAACGACGTCTGGATGTACCTGCCCTGGAAGGCCGTTGGCAGGAGCTGGTGCCCCCTCAACACCACCCTGGTTTCCTCCACCTCCGGGCTGGCGCCGCCATGCCTCTGCCGTGGTGAATGAATGGCTTTACATATTTGGAGGTGAGAGCAAGAATCACAGAATCGTAGACCAGCCCCCTGCAATCCAAGAATCTCAAGAATCTCAACTAAAGCATCCATGACAGATAGCTATCCAACCTCTGCCTAAAAGCCTCCAGTAACCTGAAGTGCAGCGACTTGAGTGGGAGGTGGAAAAAGTAGAGTACTGGAATACTTTGCCTCACCCACTTAATAATAATAATAATAATAATAATAATAATAATAATAATAATAATAGGATTCCTTAGCTGCCTGTCACCATAAATTTCCGGGTGGGTGGCAACGGTATAGAAACACAAGATTAAAATCAGTCGAAATAATCTAAAACCAGAAGACTAGGGTGGATCCTGAAAGTATCTATCTGAGTTGTCAGAAGCCAGAGGTAAATAAGTGCAGCTTCAACACGTGACAGAAATGGTACAATGGAAGTGTCTGTTACGGCTTGTGGGGAGGGACTTTCATAGTTTAGGGGCAGGCATAGGCAAACTCCGGCCCTCCAGTTGTCCTGGGACTACAATCCCCACCATCCCTGGACCATTGGTCCCGTTAGCTAGGGATGGTGGGAATGGTAGTCCCAAACATCTGGAGGGCCGAAGTTTGCCTATGGACTGGTTTAGGGGCTGTTACAGAGATGGCCCTCTCCCGGGCTGCCACCCGCCCTGAGCTTTCTGAGGGCAGCGAAACTACCAGGAGGGCCCCCTTGCCAATTCTTAACAACCGAGAGGGTATGTAGGAAAGGAGCTGATTGCCCAGGATATTCATGTGCTAAGTCATTCAGGGCTCTAACCACTCACGTGAACCCCCCTGAATTGGACCTGGACACAAACTGGTGACTGGTTCAGCTGTTTAGAGCAGATTGCTGTGTGAATTCTGTATGGAACCCCAGTCAAGTAACCTGGCTGCTGCTTTTCGGGACCTGTGGATGTTTCTGAGATGTCTTCAAGGGCAGCCCATGCGGTGCACATTGCAGCAGTCCAGCCCAGCAGTCACATGAGCGTGGAGCGTGGTGGCCGAGTCACTTCTTTCCAAAAGGGGGCTTTAGCCGGTGAACCAGCCAGAGCTGGAAATAGGCGCTCTTAGCCCTGCTAACTTGTTTCCCTTCCTTTACGCAGGCCGCACCTCGGTGGATGTCTTTTCCTCACAGATGTACCGCTTCCATCTGAGGATGTGGCGCTGGGAGTTGGTGGTGTCCTCGGGGGGCAAGGCTCCCGCAGCCGCAGGCCACTCCATGGTGTTCCACGCAGCCTCCCGCACTCTCCTGGTTTACGGCGGGCACCGACCCTCAACTGCTCGGTAAAGAGAAAACGGGGAGTACTGTGGGCATACACACCAGGGGCTGCCACCCCTGCTCACTCCACCCACCAACCCTACCTATCTGCCCTACAAGTGGCCAAACCCTCCTCCTTTTACACCGCACCCACCCTCACACTCCTCTGTGAAACGCCCTTCACCCTGCTCCTTTGAACAGCTTCCCTTGGCTGCCTGCTACCCAGTCGTAGCTTTCTATTGATGGCCATTTAGACTGCAGCATGACGGCAGCCTTACAATTTTATGTATATAGTAAGATATGTATATAGCAGAAGTAGATCTTTTTGTTGTTCAGAACATCGAGGGAAACTGGTGCAAAAGGCCTTTGGGGGTTTGATTTACAACTTCCTCTGGCCTATTGATGCAGGAAGTCGCCTTGGTTGGTATAGCTGGCATATAGACAAGGGATGGGGAACCTGTGGCCCTACAGGTGGCACTGGACTACGACTCCCATCAGCCCTAGCTGTTGGCCATGCTGGCTGGGGTTGATGGGAGTTGTAGTCCAGTAACCCTGGGAGAGCCATTTGTTCCCCATCCCTGATATAGGCTAAGTTCCCACCTTCTTCTCAGGTTCTTGAGTCAATGCTTGTGGGTGCAATTGCTTCCTTTCAAATCTATTTTTATTGCAAATATAACAGGAAGGAAAAAGAAAGAGACCATATCA